TCTCGCATCATCATCCCCTCAACAAACCAGATGCTACAGACCGTACGTTGTTCGATGAGACTCGAGCCCGATTGGAAGGCCTCATTCAAAGAGGATGTTTGGCTCCTACAACCGATGACGATGACGGCTTTATGTACCTTACCACGACATATTATGGCGTACGAGGATCGAAGAGGGCACGACCCGTATTCCCCTTCAGGAAGCTCAATGATGAGACCGTGCAACTTCTCAAGGATTGCCCTGTCCGACAGGATCCGTTGTACTCCATTCTTGACGCTACAAGAGGGTATGGCACTTTGAAGCTGATGGATGTCTCGGATGCATTCTTCCGCATCCGGACGGGGCCCAACCTACGACAAATAATGACGGTGTTTATCGACGGTCAGCGATTCTTCTTCTGCAACCTACCCTACGGGCCTAATTTTTCGCCATTCGTCCTACTCGCATGTATGTCCCATATTTGTACCACCGCGAAGTCACCTTACAACATCAAATATTATATGGACGATGTCGCTACGGACCATCCACATCCTCAACAGCTGCAGCAGCTCTTCGACAAGTATCACTTCCCTACTACTCTGGTCGACGTATCTACGGTTCAAGTTGCCCCTTTCTTAGGGCTCCAAACTGTCGATCATGGCCGCTCCCTTCGCTATAGCGACAGAGGATGGGCGAGTTTCATTACTCACGAGCTCCCTAGCAACCCATCCTTGCGGGACGCACTAACATTGCTAGGGAAGGTTATGTCTCTTCCCGAGGTCTTGCCCTTCTTCTTGCTACCAATTCGCAACTTACTACAGTCTCAAGTGGCGAAATGCCGCCATCTTCTTTCGTCTTGGGATGCAAAACTACCACCACACTTATTGAATATGCTGCGAGAATTTCATGAAGCTTTCAAAGAAGCCACCCCTCCGATCATCCACCGCCACATCGACGTCACTCTCCCTATTGAGGTATATACTGACGCCGGTGCTTACTGCGGGTGTTACCGCTTCTACCAAAACGGTGAAGAAATTCTCCGAGGCCAACACACTTTCACGTCGACAGAGGTCGCCCTCCATATAAACTGCAAAGAATTAATGATGGTCCTACTAGCGATGCAGAGATTGGCCTTACTCGAGATGCGTATGGATTCTCTATTTAAGGATATCAAC